CATACCATGTTGACACTAGAATTCTCACATGTAATGTAGATAAATATTTTGTTTTAATGTGATATATTTCCCCTCAAAGAATCTTTAACTGAGAAAATATTGTCAAAGAATGAAGAACCAAGTTTATAAAATTAAGATTATTCAGGAGAAAATAAGAATAAAAAATGAAACTAAAACAAATTAAAGTATAAATGTATAAATTATAAAAGTATAACGTATAAATAAACAAACTGACATACATGTACATATAAATACATATACAGTAAAGAGCAAGGTTTTAAAATATTAATAATATCCCTATAAATAGTTGAAAAAAAGTATATCACTGAATTTACTAGAATAACTCTATAAAGTGTTCTTTTCTCATTTACATAGCAATATCATTTAAACATCCTTAGTTAATAAGAAGCTTTCTTCACCTAAGCTTGATGTATTTGTGCCAAAAGAGGGCTGTGCCTCATTACACCCTACACAAAAGTAGCCATGAAGCTCATCAATGAAAGAAAATGACCCCGTTTGTCAGAGCTTCAAGAAGTACACTTTGTTGTCTACATCGGGTGGTAGGAAAAGGTGTCATGGGGAACATGACCATGTTCCAGGATCTAGGCCAGGATCATGGTTTTGCAAGTTGGTCAGAGGTATTTGAGCACTATTTGGGGTAATAAAGAGGAAAGACTGGAAAAACAACGGCAGGCATAACTGGAGAAAAAGCATGTGCAGGAATTTCTCAGAGAGGGCATAAAACATACAAATCTTTGTGTATTATGTTAACACCCACCAGACAGCATCCACCAATGAGAAGTCACTTTATAATCAGATGGACCAGATAACCTGCCTGCAGTTAACCCATCTCTCTTCTTGACCACCATTGTGCTTATATAATGGACCCAGGATAACAGCATTCTCCATGGAGGGGATGGAAGCAATGCATGAGTCCATCATATGGACTTTGCCTCCATACAGCTGATTTGAGCATGCCACCTCTAGGTTTGCAACCAGCCTGTATCAGAAATGGACCTTCTACTGGGGTGTCATAGTAGATGAATAACAGACAATAGGTAAAATCCTGGCATCAGATTCTGCTGCTCCAAGATTCTAGTGTCAGCAACACTTGTAAGGAGCACAGTTCCATGGCAGCCTCCCTACTGTCAACTTTGACCTGGAGAGCACAGTCACTATTAAGCTTCTCAAAATTGTCCCCTCACCAGTGGATTTCTCATTACCTGAAGAGGTTCCCCTGAACTGTCCCACAGAACACAGTCAGATGGTGGTCTCTTGGGTCCAACCTACCATATAAATTCTAAGTCCCCATTTTTATGAACGTCCTGAATGGTTTTGTATACCACCACATGAAGTTCTTTTATTTGTACTGTTCTTGTTTTTACTCTAGTATATCATCAAGGTAAGACTTCTAATAAACAGCAAAGCTATAGAAATTAGCTCTAAGTATCACTTCTAAAAAGTTGAATCATGATTCACCGTGATTAACAGCATGTCAATGAATTCTTTCCTATCCAGGTGGATATTCCATGTAACCACTCCCTCACTCCCGTCTACAACTGTCTACTCAAAATATTCCACCCTGTTCCCAGGTTACTGACAACACATGGTAACCAAGTATGTGTAGCATCGTTTGTACTCCCAGTTTAACTTCTCTGATTTTCAAACCTTAATTTTCAGTGATTTGGCTAACATTAGGTCTAAAACTGTTGGGGGCTGGGTTAAGCCTGACACAGGCTGGTACAATTAGGCCTGAGAGATAAGCCTTGAATGGCAGGATGTTGCAGTCAGGAGCCATAGAACCTCCCCTCCTGGACATGCGGGTGGCACACCAATCAGTGCCTTGATCACGCGCCCGGCATGCACCCCCCCGACCAATCGCAGGCTAGAGCACGCCTTGAAGCCACCTATCCACTGCACTTCCTCCACTGCCCTCTATATAACTCCCTCCATTTTGAAATAAAATTTGCAGCTTGATCAGAATCCTTTGTCTTGCTGCCATTCTTCGCGCCTCCTGTCCCATCCCCCTTCATCCGTTACAGGTATATCGGCGGACCCCGTTGACTGCCTCGCGGGCCGAGGCAACTGGCGCCCAACGCGCGGCCCTACTGATCCCCTGTGCGGACCGCTGTCCCCTTGATCGCAGCGTTTCGCCCAGCGTTTCGCCCGGCTCACCGCGGCTACTCGACTGCGCGCCGGCATTCCCAGAGGACCCCGTTCCCCGACAGCGGCATTTCAAAGGTAAGACGCAGCCATGGGACAGGCATGTTCACAACGTGATTTGTTCGTTGCTCAATTAAGAGAGTCTCTCAAGGTGCGCAAGATAAGAGTTCGTAAAAAAGATTTGAATTCCTTTTTCACTTTCGTTTTTAAAATCTGCCCATAGTTTCCTCAGGAGGGTAGCATTGACTCCTGCGTCTGGCGCCGTGTAGGCGACTGTCTAAATGACTATTAAAAACCACAATAATCCCCCTGACATACAGCGCCTTTACAAAGAAGGGCAAGAAATTCTCCGCAGTCACTCCCCGGCAACCAGTTAGACCCCTCTGAACAGGCAGAGTTAGAGGATGAGGCCGCTTGCTACAATAATCCTGACTGGCCACCACTCGTGGCGACAGTCCTTCCGCCATTCAAACCGCCTCCTTATAGTACCTCTCACGCACCCGCCGCCGCCATTTTGCCTTCAGCGCATGGCGCGTCCGCCATTTCACCCGCGGCGTGCAAGGCACCCCCCATGCCTCTAGCTGTCTCCACCAACATATCAGCCCTGAATATCACCGAACAAAACTGCACCCTCAGCATACCCTTTAGAGTTCAGCCTATGCTCTTTGACTCCTACCCTTGTATCTATAAAAGTTCACAAAATAATTCTTTTGATATTTCTGTTGGTTTCGCCAGCTTTACCAATTGTAGCCACACGCTTAATTACAGCACATCCCTCTGTCCTGGCCCAGGACGAGCATTCGTGTGTGGTAATAATCTAGCTTTCACCGCCTTGCCCGCCAATTGGACAGGGCTATGTGCCTTAGCTGCCTTATTACCTGACATAGACATCATCCCAGGAGATGAACCCATCCCCGTTCCTGCTTTTGACCACTTCGCAGGACGACACAAAAGAGCCTTAGCTGTTATTCCCCTGCTTGTTGGTCTAGGAGTCTCTGGAGCAGTAGCTACCGGAACTACAGGATTAGGAGTCGCAATTCACTCCTATACAAAACTTTCCAAACAACTTGTCAATGATGTACAAGCCTTATCAAATACTATTACTGACATTCAAGACCAATTAGATTCCCTAGCAGAAGTAGTCCTACAGAATAGACGAGGTCTAGACTTACTCACAGCAGAGCAGGGAGGTATTTGTTTAGCTTTACAGGAACGATGCTGCTTTTATGCCAACAAGTCAGGCATCGTCCGGGACAAGATCAAGACCCTTCAAGAAGATGTGGAAAGACGATGAAAAGCTCTGACTGAGAGCCCTTTCCTTACAGCCTTCAACGGACTGCTCCCCTTTCTTCTCCCTCTCCTCCGGCCTTTAATAGCTATCATTCTTTTCCTGACCTTTGCTCCCTGGGTTCTCAGGCGCACCACAAACCTCATCCGAGACCAACTTAACTCCCTTCTTGGTAAGCCTATCCGGATACATTATCACCAGCTAGAAATGAATGAACCTGGCACTGACTCGCAGCGTTTTCTCCGAGGATGTCCTCGCGCATAAACTCCCTTTTACACCCCCACCTCCTACGGGAACAGTATAACTCTTGGCATTATACTTTACATATGAATGTAATGGATACCGCTAGGTGCAGAGCAAAGCATCGCAAGGAGAAGCTACCCCCGAAGGTAGCCCTGCCATGTCTCCTGAGAGGCAAGTCGGCTTGCATAGAGGTCAGCGCCCCAACCCTCTCCTCCGAAAAGGGTGCTTCAGAGCTCAGGACGAGCTCAGGAGGAGCCAGACCTCTGCCTCCCCTAGCCGGTTAAAGTCCACTCCTCACCTTAAAAATAAAAATAAGGGAGGAGATGTTGGGGGCTGGGTTAAGCCTGACACAGGCTGGTACAATTAGGCCTGAGAGATAAGCCTTGAATGGCAGGATGTTGCAGTCAGGAGCCATAGAACCTCCCCTCCTGGACATGCGGGTGGCACACCAATCAGTGCCTTGATCACGCGCCCCGGCATGCACCCCCCCGACCAATCGCAGGCTAGAGCACGCCTTGAAGCCACCTATCCACTGCACTTCCTCCACTGCCCTCTATATAACTCCCTCCATTTTGAAATAAAATTTGCAGCTTGATCAGAATCCTTTGTCTTGCTGCCATTCTTCGCGCCTCCTGTCCCATCCCCCTTCATCCGTTACAGGTATATCGGCGGACCCCGTTGACTGCCTCGCGGGCCGAGGCATAAAACCACAACTTGAAATATAGTAGGTGGCAAGATCAGCACAGGCAGTAGCAATAGTAATAAAGTCCAGAAGAGAGTCAGTTGACTTCTGAAGAATATTCAAAGTAATCTGCGAAGGCCCAAAGTGCTTGTTTCTGATGCAATATTTCTTTTAGGGCAATACAGTCCTCAAGGTTATATATGTACCAATCAATGTTATTAATGTTTTTCCTTATGATGTATGATTTCTAAATGAACTATAAAGGACTAATCTTTTGATTCCCCAAAGGATCTTAGCTATATAAGTTAATGTATCTGTTATAATTGCCCTTGTTAGTAATAGCATACAAAGAAAAGCAGAGATTTTCAACATCAGACCTGCTACAATCCACATGCATATGGGCAAGAAATTTAACTTCTTAAAGCCTAGAAAATAAGCAAAATTTGTATATTATAAAGTAACTAAATTATTATGAAGACATTAAAATTTTTTAATTTGTGCATATATATTAAATAAATCATGAACTTTCACAAATTTATTAAGCTCTATAAAATATGAATATATGAATATCACTATATATTTTATTCTAAAGAAATATATATAGATAAACAGGCCTAGAGAATAGTAGTTTAATAAAATTACACAAGCAATGTTTATGTGTAAGGCAAACTGTATAGTAATCAGCCAATAGATTATACAGAGTGTTATTTTGTGTAATAAAGAAAAGGTTAAGTATGAAGAAGAGTATAAAAAATACAAACAACCAAAAAGGCAAAGTATATGTTGGGAAACATAGTTATGGTTTGTGTTTAATCATTTTATATCTCTAAAAGTTTTTTTAATTGCAAACAAAGGTTAAATTTAATTATTATATGAATGTTAGAAACTCTGTGATATAATAAGTCCCTAAGGATCACATGTCTACTAAACAGATTTCCTTCTCTTTCCAAATACATTATTGATCAGCTTGGCCATTGATTTAGATCCACTGGATCTTCTCTTCTCTTTGAGTTTGAAGTTTGCCAGGATGTCCTTGATAATTCTGACAAACATCATTTCTACCTCCAGAGCCTGCTCTGCTGCAGACAGTTCACAGAATTGGCAGCGGTTATCCAATGCCAGCTTTTGCCCTTCTTCCCAGCCAACCTCGCGCACATGACAGAGATCTCGCTTGTTACCAACCAAAAGCACTGCTGATTCCATAGCTCTGAAATACAGATACACAATTCTTTGACAAGACTGAATTATCAATGCCTTTTTTTATTAAGTAGGGTAATGTCAAAAAATTATGGACCAAAACAAAAAAAATATTGTTGTGTATATGTTATTTATAGCACATGTGTGTGTGATACACATCTTGATTTATGTAAAAAATTATTTTAGAAAGAATGTAGTAAATGACACAAGAGCAACAAGTCTCTTAAAATGCAAGCACTAAAGTGATACCAACCTGTTTTTGAATTATGGCTCTGTTTACTGAAATTGCATGGTTGTTACCTTTCCAACTTCCAATTTTCTGATACATAAAAACTGGTAATACAGTCATTGTCACACAGAATTCTCATAGAGATTAAATGAAATGATGTACATAAAAATACCTGACACAGTGTCAGGTCATGTTAGATGCTTCTAAATATTGTTTTCCTTTTCCTTATCAATGGAAAGGGGATGTTTACACAATGGAAAACTACTCGGCAATAATAAGGAAAAAAACTTTACTTTTTATGACAGCGTGGGTAGACCTGGAGAACATTATGCTAAGTGAAATAAGCCAGTCAGAGAAAGACAAATACCATATGATTTCACTCACATGTGGAATCTGGTGAACTAAGCAATATGGTGACAGACTCAGAGAGCAAAATGATAGGTATCAGGGGAGGGATGTGAGGAGTGGAGGGATCAAGCAAAAAGGAAAAAGGACTCATGGGCATGGACAACAGAGTTGTAATATCAGGGGAAAGAGTGACGTAAAGGGCCTAAATGGGAGTGGAAAAATACAAAATAAAAGAAGAGAAAAAAGGGGAAGGGCTAACTCTACTAAATAGTAACTAATCTGAACAATTTAGATACGTAACAAGGTATAATGCCATTTAATACTCATTGATTTTTATTCTTTGTTAATATCCATTATCACATACTTGAGAGAAACTTTCACAATCTCATGACCTCGTAGAACCTTTTTTGTTTATTTAAGAACTATGTTAAGGTAATATCTTTGTCAAAGTCAATGTATTTTCATTGATTACAACAAAACATTCCTAAAACAGACTTTTGTTTGAAGAATACAGTAAGATTACTAGTCCTTAAGTGATGTGAAACTCTGCCAAGATATCTGCTATAGAAAGAAACTGAACAAGTGAAGTCATCAACTCTGTCTAAAGAGATACAATCCCCAGATTCCACTTCAAGTTGTTTTCATCCACATGACAGTGTGAGCCATGAGGAAAAATGTACGGTATGTGTTGGACTTTTGAGGGCATTAATAGTATATTTTTCTACATAGTTTAGAAAAGTATTATAAATAATTAATGGGTAATGGTAAAATATTTTGAAAGATGAGTCACAAAAATCAGATGCAATTTTAATTAAGCAATGCCATATTTTGCTTTTCTAGTTTCTTCAGATTGAGAATTGAAAGTACTCTAAAAATTATTAGTCAAGAAATTAAGAAGACTGACAGGAAATGACAAAAATATTATTAGTATTTTTACATATTTTTAGTATGCTTGAATGATTTCTTTGATTTGGAAGAACATCAAACAACTACCTCACTGTTGCTTACCTAAGTCATGTGCTTAAATATAAGACATTTAATGTTGGAAACAATGGAGTTTAAAAAAAAAAAAAACCAGTAGTTTCATAGGAAATCAGAATTGGAAGATGCCTTAGTAAAATAGCATCCTTTTCTTCTACCATACTTCAAACAGTTTTATAATCAGAAAAATTAGGGCTCAAAGATTAAAGACCAATCAGATATAAACAAGAATTTACATCAACTGACTCCAGGGAAATACCATTTATCAATTATTATCTGATGGTTCTTGATAGTGGGGCTTTTAAAATAGATATAAAAAGCACTTATACCAATATTCAGTGACAATATAGTGCTTTTTCTTCCCAGTTTAGAATGTTGTTTTGGACTAAGGACAAATTTTCTTAAGAAGACACAGAATCCCTTACATCAGCATTATGAACAAAATATTTTAAATGGGAAAGATTCTAAAACAAAAAAAATTTAAATAGGAAATTTATATGTTTAAACTTATTATATTTACTAATGCAACAATGGTTTAAGGCACAGTTATGGCTTTCTTCATAGCTACTTGTGTCAAGGCCATTAATAATGGGGAATCACTGATGGGCTATTTACATTAGGAGGTGAAATGGAAAAAAATGTATTCTCATATGTAGAATTTGCATTGGTTTGATTATTCTGTCTATTTTACTTTGATAGGTTGAACAACTAAATGACTAGGAATTGGATGCCAAATGTGATGAATCTGGGTTTATTTAGTACCCTTAACATTTTTGTGGGAAGGAAAAGGGAAGGGTGGAAAGCCAACTATCTTGTGTACAGAGGACCATTATTTTGCAGGTGAGTGTCATGTTAACAATAGAAGCTGTCTTGTAAAATTGCCACTTACTCAGGGCAAGTAACTGTTTATGTCACCCAGGATATAAAGCATTCTCATCTTCTTCCTTTTACTACATGTATAACTCCTGTGGAATGGAAGGTGAATTGTTCAGGGCTGTTAAATTTTGTAATTGGAAGGCTGTATTAAACTCTTCCTAATAATGCTTACAGCCATACGATGATTTACTAAAAAGAAAAGAGGAAGGAATGAAAAACATCTCACCTTTTACAATGGCTAGTTTGTGGCTCCCGAATTCTGTAGATCAGTGCTTTTGCAACAGCAAATGAGGACCTGTCACTGATGTCATACACAATAACAAACCCATCTGCCCAATGCAGCTCACTTGTGAGGGAAGATCTGGCTTTCTGTGGCTGAAAATGAACCAAGCACATTGAAAGGGTGACATCTGACATCTGCATTACACACTTTAGAGTGAATTAATGGAGACCTGTTTCACTGAGAAAAGAGAAAAGTCAGAAACTGGTATTTTCTGAAATGTAGTTCCCTTATTTCTTCATCACTCTCTTTAATTAAAAGTGATTAAAAGTTTAAAGTATAAAGGTGAATGATAACGAAGTTGTAGCTATCTCATGTTGCAATATTTCTCTAAGAAAATATCTCTATGTTTTTGAAAAATTGATAATAATAATTATCTTTTGAATTAACATTCACGTTTGTTTCAAAAAAAGATAATATTTTCTATCAATATTAGTAGGTGGAATATCTGTTGATTTTTGGTGCTAGACTGAAATCAGTAAAAAACATTATAGGGTAGATGAAAAGATTTAAGATATATTTTCTTCACCTAAAAGAATCCATCCCAGAGAGTCGTTTTGAAATCTTGTATTTATATAATCCTAATTTTACTTATACAAGATTATAGTTAACTCTATTCTTGTATTTACATAAATATTAATTATATAATATTGTATTTATATAGCTCTAATATTACTTTTTTTGTATTTGAATGAACAAAGAGGTTTATACTCAAAACTGCCTTATGATCTACTGACGACAGTAGTGAGCTACAAAGGGAACAGTGAAAATATAAAGTGAATAATAAGTCATTAAACTATTAGCTTCTAAAAGCTACATTGTGACCTGATAGAAATATATCATGAATTAAGCCAATTATTTCTATTTTAAAGATATTTGTAATATGACAGTTTTTTGTCATAACTTTACAGAGAAGCTAGGTAATGGGATTTATAACACTAAAATAATTTCTTAAAATTTTTTAAAGATTTTATTTATTTATTTTTAGAGAGGGGGAAGGGAGGGAGAAAGAGAGGCAAACATCAGTGTGTGATGGCCTCTCATGTCCCCCGTTCTGGGACCTGGCTTGCAGCCTAGGCATGCGCCCTGACTAGGAATCAATCAAGTGACCCTTTGGTTTGCTTGCCAGGACTCAATCCACCGATCCACACTAGCCAGAGCTAAAATTTTAATAATTATTATTGTGAAGAAAATTCAGTTAAGACTGGCAACTTTACACTGATCCTTACCCAATCTTCTTCAAATAATGATTGAAAACATAAAAGGATATTTTGTTTTACTTACTTGAGAACAAGGGTCATATATTTCTAGATTCAGTTGCTTCCCTTCCAAACACAAATGCTTATTATAGATGGATTCTGCAAAATACACATATGTTTATTGTCAGTATGGATATACCACAGAACAAAAAATTGCACCTATATTTGGATCACAATTTTGCAAATGCAAGTGGTTATACTTTAGTGGAGTTGTCATTTATTGCTAGTGGTCAAAAAAACATACCTGTTTATTTACTCATGTATATTCTTCACAAGTGAGATTCACGACATCTTTTCAGCCACATGCTTTTGTGCTTATGTACTTCTAGTCTATTACTATGATTACTGTGGATGAATTATCTGTGTTTCTAAGGATGATTTACTAGCTAGCATTTCCTCTGACCTCGTGAAAAACATGGCTCCACCAATTCTGCATCTCTCCTATGCATGATAAACTCTTCATTGTTACTGTATCATTACTACTAGCTGAATTCTCTTAACAATCCTTTGGCTCCTTCAGTCTCTTTCATTAAAACTTAAAATATGTTTCCAGACATTTAAACCTTAAAGTGTTTTCAGAGAATGCCTTCTAAACTTGATTTAAGTTTACTACTGTGAACCACCAAATTTGCCTCCATATATTTTAAAATATCCACTCCCAAAACTCAGAAACTGCCATCAGAGTCACCACCTGTCTTTCAAATTTTACTATGTCTCCTTCTAGTAGTTACTTACAAGACGGAGTCATTTTTTGCTAGTTTGTCCTCATACTGTGGTTACCTTTTGCTAATTTGATTGTTTTTTCAACATGTCTCTAAGTTTCATATTCTTAACAAAGATGTAACATTCAGAAATGTGTATACTTATTTGTTTACATAACTATACCCTGATAAAGATTAAGGCAATATTTTTTCATCGTTGCTGCCATTGTTTGGGAGGTGTTGTTTTATTCATGCTTTGTAGTTTTGGAACATTTTCTCATGTCTGACTGCTAGCTTGTATGTTGTGGTGACCCTTTGACAAGGATTGCTGACCTGAGAAATAACACAGGGAGGATTTTTATATATTCCTTCTTTCTATCATCAGTTTTAGGCACTTGTTCATAGTGTCATATAGACTGAAATACTACATTGGATACATGTAGAAAACAATATAATGCAATACTTTCTACAGTTACTTTCTGAAGAACTCTAATAACATTATCTCATAAATGAATGCCAAGTATTTTTGTTTATATTTTTTCTCATGGAAAAACACATTTACAATCATATTTTCATTTCACTCTAAATAAGTGTTATTGAACAAAATAATTATTTCTCTTTTCTTAGTTCTCATATTACTTATAAATTCATCATTTTTAAACAAAGAATGCAAAACATTTTCCCATATCTTTGATCATATAAGGTACTAATACAATTATATTGATTATTTGCTGAGCCAAAATATACTTAACCCTCTAGTAATATTTCTTATTTTTATTAATTCCCTATCATGGTATTTCCCATATGTCATACTAATTCTGATAACAGACACTTATATTAGAGCTAGTGAGATGCTCCTCAAATTATCTCAAGGTGCCCTGACACATGTTTTAGAATTTCTCTGAAACTTACATAAGCAACCTAGATAATTATATATGATCTTTAATCAAGACATAATTTCCTGTTATTTTCACACAGTTTTGCAATAAAAAAAGCTTTATTTTATAATTACTTGTGCTTTTACAATTAATTTTCCCTTATCTTTCAACAGATGCTTACCTAATTTCAAAATTTCTTCACAGCTTACAAAAACATTCGCACTCCCATGCTCTACAATATCAGGGAGTGGAGCAGGAAGAGATCTCAGTTTTCATATTTTTCTACCTTTAAACTGAAACCAAGTGACTTTCTAATCCATCTCAGGTCACATCAGATTGGATGAATTTTGTAATAAAATAGTATTCAGCTCAGTTACTTATTTTGGCATTTCTAACCAGGATCCATTAATAAATAAATTGCTTTAAAAATCAAAAATGAAAGACTTTATTAAAATTTTTTGCTGATCTTAATTCTGGCTTAATTATAATCTGAATTTAAGGTGAAAAATGTCTATAAAATAGTGACTTACCAAAATTAGAAGCATATTCTCCAATGAACCGCTTGGTAAGAAACCTTACTGTAAGGGCTGCAAGATAAATAAGCTGGATTTACAGTCTTCTCTGTTTTAGGGTACGGATAACTTAGTTATATACATAGGGTCAAAAATTACCAAGCATCGGGAAGATCTTAAAGCTTTACCAAATTTGGTCTCAATAATAGTAGCAAGAGTTCCAACACAGATCTGTAAAGGTTAAGAGGCTAGAAAAAAAAGTGACCTTAGCATGGGATCCATTCAAATCACTATTAATTAATTCACAGATGCAAATATGAGGCTACTTACCTTTTGTAATAGAGGCATATTTCTCATTATATCTGAGGTGCAGGAACTATAGCATTTCTTTTTTTCTTTATCAAATTAAGTTTGGTTTCAAGGTGTTACATGCTTCTAATGACAAGGACAGTATCAAGCAATGCGGTTACTGAAGGACAGAGGGACTTCAAAATCCAGAAAATAAAGGACCTCTAGTGTTGTATTATCTTATTACAGCTCCGAAGTTGGCCAATTATTAGTCTTTGGGCTCAGGGGGCTTCTATTGGTATCTTTATTACCATCATTAAGTGACCTTAATGTGAGCAAAAACAAAACAAAACAAAACAAAAAACAGTAAAATGGCTTCTCGGATCAGGGCAAATGTTTAGTTCCCAGGCATCTACGGAGCAATGTGTCTTTTTCTCTGAAATGTAGCATTTAAAAAACAACCCACAGGTCTTCACACATCTCTCTCTGCACCCTCAGGCTCAGAGCAGGATCTCTCAAGGTCAGTGTTTGGTGGTTGGTGGGTGTGGGGACAGGTGTGTTGGAGTCAAAACCGGGTGGGATAGTGATGGAAGGATTTCCTGTTATTCCTATGATTTTTACATATCGAAAACAAAATACAAATGAACACTTTAAGCAGTTATATTCCTCAAGCTATCTATAAATTCTTCAAATATACAGTTAATTACATCACTTTGCTTGGAAAATAAAAACTGCAAGTGAAAGACAATGTGCAGGTATATAGTTATACCAAGTTTTATACACAAGCCAATATATTTCTCACTTGCTTTGCACTCAACACCACAGCAAAGGAAATAACACCACTCACCGGATTTGCCTGTTCCTTGAGCACCCAAGACAGCAAGCTTCACATCATTCATGTTGTTTTTCTGTTTCTTTTTGGTCAGGCCCACGTTCTGGAGCAATACTGACTTGAGCCAAGTATGAGATTTTTCAAAATCCTTCTTAAAAATTAGTGCTGCTCTCATTTCTCCAAGGCCAACTCCACCCCGTATTGCTACCATCCAATAATAACATTAAAAATGTTGTAGCTTTGAACATATGCCATCAGAAAACTTTGGAGCTACTATTTAGGTACGAAGGCTTATTAAGCTAACAGTTGAGGATTTAAAAGAAGCTTAGCTCTACATCCTCTATGTGTGCGTACCCTGAATCTACTTTCTCCTAGGACCTGGAAAAATGATCTCACTTCATTAAGAAAGTTTTTAGAGGATGACTGAACGTTCTTTAATTTACTTCGATTGAATCAGTTTTGCTTTTTCTATTAATAGCTGAGTCTATATATTCTTTCATTTCTTCTGTGAAAGACGAGACAGAATATGTTAATTAAGTCTTGAAAAGAGGACAGCAGCCTCTACCTGTTAGTGCAGGGTTGACAGTGACGCAGGTGAGTGCCTGCTCCCTGTCTTTGGGCCCGGTTCTCCAGCAGAAATACGAGTAGTGCAGTCCCCCCTTCCAATGTCCTTCTCAACAAGAAGTTTCTCTCCCTCTCTTGTTTTTCCTTTTAATTTTATGCCAAATGACAGCAGTAAAATTTCTGGGAAAAAATAAAACAATCAGCTTTATGTTGCTTAAAGAGCAATAAACGGAAACCTGCCATGTTTCTTTATACAGACAGTACTTTGTAATTAGGAAAAAGAAATTTAAAAGAGAGAAAATTTTTAAAGGAATTTTATATAATTCACTTCTGCTATGAAAAAAGAGGTAGATGTAATATGCAAAGTAATGACTGTTTCATACTTCTTTTCATCAAATTTTCCTTCTACACCAAGTCCCTGCATTACTGTATTACCTTCCCCCCCTTTTTATATATGTGTAAATTTGACAGTTGAGAAAAAATGTACAACAAACAATAAAAGAATTCAACTTTTGTGGACTAAATTTTGAGGCCTAGGTGAAGAAGTTTTATTTCATTTCCAGGCTGGGTACATCACAGGGTAACACGTTTCTTAAAAATGCTTTTATTTAATAGTGGAAAGAAGAGGAAAGGACAAGTCGAAGAACCTGTATGAATGACCCACAGACATGGACAGTGCTGTGGGGATGGACTGTGAGACCAGGAGGTGGGCTGGGTGGAAGAGGGCAAGAGGGGAGCAAATGGGACAATTACAATAGAATAACTATTAAAAATGCATTTATTTAACAAGCATTGATAAGTTTCACTCTTTATTAAAGCTATGTTGTGCTTACAAGGTAAACAATTAATAGTAAATTTTCTGCCTTGATGGAGTCAAAGAGAAAAATTGAAACAACTAGAATTATAATAAATATGACCATTGCTAATAGAGGGCTGTAAGAGCTGGGAAAAGAAAAGCAGTGGATAGCAAAGTCTTCCAAAAGTCTGATAAGCTTGAAACATGAGCAGGACCCATTAAGAGAGGAAAGTAGAAATGACTGAGCATTAGGGAGAGTGTCTATTCCAAAAGAAGAGTTCTGTAAAGAAAACAAAGCAGGAGAGAGTATGGCAATTTGTGGGATCAATAAGTTAAGAATGGAAAAAACCTAAAATTTTTCTTTTATTGCAAACTATAAAAAATGTTTTAAGATTTTATTTATTTTTCTGTAGAGGGGAAGGGAAGGAGAGAGGGAGAGAAATATCAATGTATGGTTGCCTCTCATGTGTCCCCTCCTGGGACCTGGCCTGCAACCCTAGCAATGTGCCCTGACTGGGAATTGAACTGCAATCCTTCGGTTCGAGGGCCTGCGCTCAATCCACTGAGCTATACCAGCCAGAGCAAACTATAAAAAATTTTAAATAAGCTATGTTTTTTCTTTAATCCATGTAACTATATTAAAAGTAACAGGAATGATTTTTAAGAAACTTTACCAGCCAGTTTATTAAACTATGGATTTGAGAGTTTTCCCTCTATTTAGCATAATTACACCCTTACCTTCTTAAGAAACGTCTGATTGAAGCTTCTAAAAATTTAGCATATCTGCTGAAAGAAAGGAAAACCTCAACTTCACAACACGCATGCTTAGAAAAGAATAAATGAATGTTTGCTATCCAGACACTTGCTTCATTTCACCTTATCTTCCTCTTCTCTGTTCCCATTGGGTTACAAAGGTCAATCCTATAAGAAAGAAATCTGGGGTTGGAATTGCAGGGAAGTTATAAACATGAGCAGAGAAAATATAATTATGCACTTGCTTTTCTAAGAAACAAGAGTCAATGTATTTTTTTCTGCCTCTGGTAAAGGGAGCTAAATTATTAGTGTTCTGATGGATACATTATTATACCACCTACAATTTTCTCATAGCTCCCCCAAAGAGACATCTGTTCACAACTAAACCAAAATCATTTTTAATACTTTATTTATTTGAGTGAACAGAAATTTATTGTGTTTACCGTGGGGCTGGCACTATTCTCAGTGCTAGACACACATTAGTGGATGGACAGACAGTACTGACAGATGCTGGTCATGGGGGTGACCATTAAACATTACACACAAGAAACTAGTTGCTTGTCAGATATTCAGTTCTGTTTCTCTGGGGTCAGGTTAACCAGCCCTTCTCAGCTCATTCTATTTCCTTATAATTTTTCCAACAAAATGTTTGGACTCGGAAGGATGGAGTGATCCAAACAAATCCCCAAGGAGAAAACTATCTGTTCCACAAAGCTCTTTTAGGGCCTTGAAAATATCAATACTAAATACTCCCCAACCCAGTTCCTGTGTCTGTCATAATCTAAACAAGATATAAATGGTGTACATCATCTTATGTAATCATGTAAGATGTTTCTATGATTTCTGAGCATTTAAAAAACTTAGTTGACATCATTAACATAATTGACCCAAGACAATTACACTTTTGTAATTCTAAATTTTATAGAACAAGCCTTGAAAGAGAATCTTTCATTTGGGTATCATATACTAAAGAAATGTTTTATTCAATATGTAATATTAAGAAATGACCAAATTACATGAGTCTTTTTTGGGAAAAGACAAATGATGAATACCTCTCCAATTTTCTAAGGTTTTCAAAGCAAGTGTGAGACTACATAATTAATGCCTCTGCACATTTTTCTCAGCATGTATACTTATAATTACAATTGGCTTTTCAAGGTAATGATTCAATATTTACTTTACCCTTTGAAATTATTTTTGAGGTCTTTATTGTTTCATAAGATTTTATTTCCCACTATGCTTATAATAGTTGAAACATGATAGCTAATAGTAATTATAATCAAATATTCACCCCTTTTATCTTCTCTAAAAATTATGTCATTCTTTTGTGTAGATACTAGTCATTTTCTTTGAAGCTACTTTATTTTTTCTCAAAGATTCTTTAGCTCTTTCTTAATTGCCTGAAGTTGGTTAGTAGAACAAAAGTGACTGCAGCCTTCAAAAGCAGTCATTCTTCCATACCGTCCCAAAAGATAAGATGGCCACTGTTATAGCAGAGTGGTACTCCACTGTGTAAATGTACCACAACACTTTTACCTCACTCATCTACTGATGGGCACTTGGGCTGTTTCTAGATCTCAGCTGCTGTAAATAACACTGCAATGAACATAAGGGGTGCATACATTCTTTTAAATTACTGTGCTAAGTGAAATAAGCCAATTAGAGAAAGAAGTACCATATTATTTCACTTATATGTCAAATGTCATGAATAGAATAAACTAACAAACTAAATAGAAGCAGACTCCTAGATACTGAGAGCAGCCTGACAGTGGTCAGAGGGAAATGGGTTGAGGGCTGGTGATAACGATGAAGAAATTAAGCAAAAAACCAAACAAAATAAAATAATACTCATAGACACGGACAACAGTATTGTGACTACCAGAGGGAAAGAGGGTAGGGGGAGGTAGAATAGGGTAAAGGGTGGATAAATGGCAATGGAAAGGGACTTGACTTGGGTGGTGAAGCCACAATACAATGCACAGATGATGTATGATGGAATTGTACCCCTGAAGCCTATAGAATTTTATTAACTAATGTCACCCCAGTTAAAAAGAAAACAAGCAGTCTTCTGTAACGCAGCTACCTCTAACAGGAAGCTTGAATGAGCAGCACATGGTTTACTTCTGTGTATGCACTTTCCCCACAAATAATGAGTTTTAAAGGCTAAGCAATGCAGATGCGAGAAGGATACATTACTTATATTCCTTCAATTCCTTCCATTACCCTTTAGAAATAAATGTTGCAAATTTACATTCAGAATTAAACCCTACAATTTCATGGAAGTAAATGAATAAAAAAAGTACAATTCCTTTGAAAGCTGGCTATAAATAAACCTCAAAATATGCATGCAATGGTTCAAACAGAAGAATAGTATATTTCTTGCTCACATAAAACAATAAATCAGAGTTCCTCATCAGGGCACATCTCCTACAACACCTCCCAGGAGGGCTTCCAGGCAGCACAGCACAAAGGGAAAGAACAGGACAAATCACGTATGGGAGATTTTGGGGGGCTAGCTTGGAAAAGGTACACTTCATTCTGTTCGCACAAGCCTGAATCATTACCTGAAACATCAGCTCTTTAGCTCTTCTCATGGCTCCCATGTAGCAGAGTTTGGACTGGAAACTGTGCCATGAGATCTCCTAGCTCTCCACCTTGTCGACTGCAGATGGACTTCTCTGTCTCCGTATTCACTGGAGTCAATTCCTTTTAATATGGTATAATTAATATAATGTAATGTAACTTATAAATATCAGATCCTATTGGTTCTGTTTCTCTGGAGAACTCTGACTAATACAGTCTCCATGAGGAAATGGTATTTTCTCTAATAGAATATTTCAAAATGTAGTTTGCTCAGCGTTACACAGAGTAGCTGCTGAAGCCAGACCAGCGGGAAGCCTGGTCACTCCACTCCAGCACACTGCCATCCACTGCTGACCTCCTTTCCCTGCTCATTTGTTCTCACCTGAAACAGGTATATCCCCCTTTCGTATGTTTTGCAAAATTCTGATCATGTGTGCTTTAGCCTCGATAATGTTTTCTAATCAGTTTATGATGCATATTTATATTTAGCTTTCTCATTCTTACCTCATCTCCTTGGCTATTTATTCAGAAGTTGATCCCTTTAGATTCCATGCATAAATGAGGTCATTTGTGGAAAGACATATGGTATTTGTCTTTCACTGATTCACTTATTTCTTTTAGCCTAATATTCTTCCAGCCTATCTATGCCGTCACAAAAGGTAAGAGGTTCTTCTTTTCTACCGCTCTATAATATTCCATTGTCTAAATATATCACAGCTTTTTTTATCCACTCATCTACTGGTGGCCACTTAGGCTATTTCCAGATCATAATGAACTAGTGAACAAAATAGAAACAGAAGCATAAACACCCAGAACAGACTAACAGTGGCCAGAGGGGAAAGGGTAACTGGGTGAAAGATGGTGAAGGAATTAACCGAAGAACTTCTATGCATGACCCGTGGACACAGACAACAATATGGAAATTGACTTAGGGAGGGGGGAGAATGGGGCTAAGTGGAGGTGGGAAAGGGTGAAAAAGCATAAATAATAAGAATTTGAAAATCAAAGTCATTCATTGAAAATAAAAATGAAAGATATTTGCTAGTATTTTCTTTTTTAAAAGTTGAGCCCTTTAAACTTTTTTTGCTGTTTTTACTCATAAGCATAAAGTCACAGTTATGGTTATAAGAATCCCTCTGTTTTCTTTCTCAGAGAAAATGTAAGTGGGTTTTTTTTCAGTTTTGCTTTATAATAACTATTTTCTTCTATGGTTTTTACTACTCTAAGCTCTGCAATGACTTTTTTATATTTCTACCGATTTTTTTGTAAAGAGTGAAGCTTTTATTCACTCTCTGAGAAAGGAAGGAGTGTGGTACGGAGAGATACATCAGCTTCTACCAATTCTGTATCACAAAGGAAGCTGTGTCTTTTGGTAGTTCGTTATTGCTGCACAGAAAATTACCACAAACTTAATGGCTTAAACAATATATATTTATTATCACACACTTTCTATAGGTCAGAAGTCTGGGTGTTACATGTCAATTGGAGTTTCTGATTCAGGGACTCACCAGGCTGCACCCCAGGGCTTGCCCAGGACCGTGATCTTCTCTGAAGTCCTACTGGTGAAAGACCCATTTCTATGCTCCTTGTGCCAGCACAATTCTGACTCTTTATTTATTTTTTGGTTTTCAGATGGGAGGCTCTCTCAGGTCCTTGCTACGTGGCCTTGTCCATATGCCCTTGTCCACATGTCAGCTGACTTCTACAAAGCCAGTCATCAAGAGCTATCTCTCTAGTGCATGCCAGCAATACAAATATTAATAGATAATAGAAGGATTGATAGCCAGATAAATAAGGCCTTGTGTGTACATACATAGTATATATACTACATATTTACCTGGTAACATAATTACAGCAGTGATATTCCATCACCTTCAGCATGTTTCAGTGCTTAGAAACAAGTCACAGATTTTGCCTGTATTCAAGAAGAGGGGATTCACTGGGGATCATCACCTTAGGGTGATTCTTTAACTTACTATGTAGTGCTTCTTCTGAACAAAGTATATCTTAATTTTGTTTTGTTTATTTATATATCTTAATTTTGCAACTTTTAATGGTGGTGATGTCATATTTCACATAAGTGGATAAAAATATGTGGACATAGCTATTGTTTGATGTGGTATTCTGAGCCAAGGTGATCCATATAAACCCAGTTATGTCTTGCAATTTTTCATCCTAGAAATTAATTCATAAATCACCATTTGAAAAGTGAAATGTTTTTATTTGCATTATTATATTAGATAAGGGCAAGAAGCAAGTCACACTGAGATAAGCATGTGCTATTTTTCTTGTTCTTTCCCACTGAGTATACCATCTATTTTGAAAGGAAAAGAGCATATCTGACTACATCGTAAAATTTAAGAAATACACATTAAGTGCCTACTCTGTGCCAAATACCATGCTAAGGAAAATGGCATCATTCAACCTTTCTTCTTGAAGAGTTTTCATTCAGGGAAAAAAATTAATATTTATATAACAAGTACAAATTAAAGTAAACACAAGTTGTCAGGAGTGCATGGATAGGAGAAACCTAGCTGAATTCTAAATGAAAGGTACAGTAGGCTAACTAATGGCCCCCAAAGTTATTAGGTGCTAATTAACCTCTGTACCCTACAAGTGTTAAGTAGTATGGGAAAAAAAATATTTACAGATGGAATTAAGTTAAAAATCTTTAGATAGGGAGATCACCCTAGATTTCTGAGGTGAGCCCTAAATGCAGTACAATCACGTGTCCTTATAAGAAGACAGAGAGAGATTTGGCACCGAAGAAGAGGAGATGAATGTGTGGTCACAGTGGCAGATGTTGGAGTGCTGTGGCCACAACCCAGGGAATGTTGACAGCCTCCAGAAACTAGAAGAAGCAAACAATGGATTCTGTCTTAGTGACTTTAAGGGAGCAGGTATTAACAGACAGTAGCTTAAGCATAGTCATGAAGGTAGGAAGCAGGTGGTGGATAATGGGCACTGAAACACTTCTGTGTTAGACTTGTGAGCAAAGAGGGGGTAATGGTAAGAATAGGGGCTCATTTACAAGATGAAATGATAGTGGCCCTCTGTGGTGTGCTAAGAACATTAATTATCCTGTAGGACACTAGAAGTTATCAAGAATTTTTAAGACTGTAATGCTTTATTACCAAATACTCCATTCTTGAAAGCAGAGTAATCCCACACTATCCTTGGTCTTGCTTTCAACAGATTCAGTTACCAGTAGTCAACTGTGATCTGAAAGTAAATAAAATATTCCAGAAATACACAATTCATAAGTTTATATTGTACACTATTCTGAGTAGTGTGATGAGATCTCTTCCTGACACACTCCCTCCTGCCCAGGATGTGAATCACCTGTTTATCCAGCGTGTCCACGCTGTATACACTCTCTGCCCATTAGTCAGTTGGTGGCCTTCTCAGTTACCAGATCCACTCTCATGCTATCACAGTGCTTGTGTTCAAGTCACCCTTATTTTACTTAATAAAGGTCCTTAAGAGCAAAAGTAGTGATGCTGGCAACTTGGATAAGCCAAAGAGAGACCTTTACTCTTCTTCATAGCTATGTATGTATAGATCGAAACCATATTATGTATATAGTTTGGTACTATCTTGTAGTTTCAGGCATCCACTGGGATCTGGGAGCATATTCCACAAAGATAAGAGGAAACTACTGTAATACAGAACAACAGTGGAGGTAAGGGAAGCTGAAGGAGTAGAAGAAAGGATACCTAATAGGAAGCTTTCTTTCACTCCCAAAGGGTCCGAATGAGAGTAAGGAAAAGTTGTTTTGAGAAATACTTAGCCAGTAAAAATCATAAAATCAGCAAGATTTGGTGATTACTTGTCTGAGGAGGTGATATGACAAAGACAGAATAAATCTTAAATGAATACTATACCAAGTTCTTACATGATTAGGTTGATAGTGCTGTAGTTAACCGAGGTTTTATTTTTTTTTAATTTCTCTACAAGAAGCAGTTTGAAGGACCTTTTGGGGTTGATAATGGAATCTGTCCAGTAGTGACTTGTCTAATTTTACTGAGAAAAATAACGGAGCTGATGAAACATGTACTAATAGTTCATCTTATCAATAACAGTGCTGAATTAAGTTTATGACAGGTATTGCAAATTGATATCTAAAAGATTTTCTGAAAAATAATCCACTTTGATCTCTGGAGAAGAGGAAAAGCTGTTTACATAAACTTTTCCACATTTGTTTTTTTAGATGGCTTCTTAAGCCAAAGTGCCATAGATATTTTGGAAATTCTACGGAACATATTAAATAAAATAGCTGTGCTTATTTTAACAACCCCACAAATAAGCATCATAGGTCATATTTTTTCCAGTTTATGAGCACACAGACTGTGGCTCAAAGGGGATTTTAAATATGCAGCCCAGAGAAATTCCCTCAGCGAGAAGTTGTAACTTTAGCTATAGTTTCATTAATACGTAACTCCAATGTGCTTTCTACTCCGCCATTCTGTCTCTGGGCTTTCTCTAAGGTAAATGATTTTTTTCTCATCATTGAAGCTGATTATTTTCATCACTTTCTAGTGCTATGTAACATAACCAAAAATGTTTCAGGAATCAACTTCTAAAACAAATGACAGTCCTCTAACATATAGCATAGCTCTTAAAATATAGTAGGTATTCCAATATTCAATAATTGAGTCTTGGCTGACAAATTGCAGTGCCCACAATCAAATCAAGGTTCATTACTGAATTTTTATTTTAATAGATGCTAAGACATATGTATATATCATCAAATTATTGTTATAACCTCTATTACAGAGAAATACTGTGTCTCTGATAGACTTGTTATTTACTTAACCAAGCAAAGAACTGTGCTGTCACTGTAATAATTAAAGTCTTCCCAAAGGAACTCCAGCTGAGAATAGAAACCTCCCCATGAGAATCTGAAGCAGAATTTCCTTTTGCAAATCTGTGTGACCTCATGATCTTCGTTCTTAGACTCGTTTCCCTTATTCGATGATGATGGTATTTAGCTATGCTTTTCTATACCAGTTGCAAAGGCATCTGTATTTAGTTGTAGAAAGCTGTGAAAATACATTCACAAAGGTATATTTGACCAGAGAACAATGATGACAATTCTCTTCCCCAAGAAAGAGTGATTTTTCCACATGACCTTGGAAAAGGAATGCCTTGGTTGATTTCATGGATATATATATTTTAAACTATTTCTACCCTGGTTCCTAGGAGCCTGGATTTGTTCCCAGTATTCCCTGGCCACTGGGATTTAAAATTGTAAGAGTGACCATTAGAGGAATTAGAGCTAAGCTGAGTTCTCTACCAGATTTTAAGCCTGGACAGGCCAGCTGCTCCTCAGGGACTTCTCTCAGGGGCTGGGCTCCCCGTGCCGCCTCCAGCCCAGTCAGGCACATCCTTCATAGTGATCATAAATGCCAAGTGAGCTTTAATACTTCCATCAAGTCTTGCTGAATCTGAACAGAATTAATACATAGAAACAAAAGGTATTCAAAGATGTTCAGGACAACCATAGATGGCAATCACTCACAGAATGATCAGTGGTGATAAAAAGAAATAAACGATTCTGAAAAATATTTGTGAAAATTCATTGCTACAATCAGAATGGGTCAAGGATAATGAAAAGTCTCCAGTTCTATAATAGTGACATACTAACTGCCTTATTAACAGAATGAAGAAACAGAGAAGGAAAGATAATTTGAGTTTCAAGATATATTTTGGAGTAAGTTAATCATTTAAAAAAATTTTTTATCATTGTTCAATGACAGTTGTCCCCATTTTCCCCCATTACTCTCCCCGCCCTACCCACCCTTACCCCATCGTCTTCAGCCATGGGTTCTTTATCCATGCTTCTCGACTTGGCCCCTCCCCTTCTTTCCTCCTCCTCATTCCCCTTTGGTTACTGGCATAAGTTAATTATTAAAATAACTATTAAATTTATTAAAAATATATTATGTAGAATCTGTAACATTGCCCAGTTTTAGAAAAGGAAAGACAAAAGCATCTGGAATGAACATGAGCTAGTCTGTAAGGAGACATGGATTCTTTCATTTTTTAAGATATACTTATTTTAAAATTTTGTGATATAACAATTTCACTTACAGTGCCCCTGTGACCCTTAGTTATGACCTCTTAATGTTCTTTCCCTGCAGGATATATTCTGGTAAAGTAGTTTTCTCCTGAGGACGGGCCTGGGTGAGAACAGAGTGCTCTGGCCCCTTTCAAAACCACTCCTATTCCCCTCCCCTTGCCTGAAGCACAAGGGGATGTTTCCCTGATATTCACTGTAAGTATCTGGTAGAATTTCTGGAAGCAAAAGTCACAAAAGTTAGGGGCTTCGCTTGTCGGAGTCTCCCTGGAGACTTTAACTCAGAGTGTCCACAGAGAACCTCCAGCAACTTGTCAGTTGCAGTCCAGGTCTCCCTTCTCCAGCACTGGTTTCCACCAAGCTTTCTGACAAGGTGAGTTGTGATTGTCCATCCTGGCCCATCCACCTCTCCAATTCTGGTGTGGTGGTTTGCCTTGTAACCTCATTTTCCTGAAAGATCTAAGAGGGGTTGATTTTTCAGTTTGCAGCTTGTTTGGGAAGGCGTTGTGATGTGTAAGCTCATTATATACCAAACCCTTATGTTTCATTTCTAGGAAGTGAAGGAAACTGGTAACCAATCCATAGATCAAGCTGGTTCAAATCAACAGAGAAATTATTATTATAATTCTGTTACAGATGGGAAACAAAGGGATTAATTATACAGCAATAGGCAAATCTGTACTTTAAGCAATCTATAGCATTAACATTACACTTTAGACTTTCCTAGAAAAGTGAAAGGAAACTTATGGAATTTCCAGCTTTTTAAAAACTGGAATACACATATTTCAGATAGTTGTCATCTTAGAAGCCATTCATCAAAAACTTAAATGCATTCAGGTTCTAGGCAGGCAATATAAACAAGTGAAATGGTATGAAACAGACAGACATAAAACAAAAAGGAGTCCTGCATGTGATGACTAATGAAGAGTGAATGCTCATTCATTTTAAAGGGGTTCAAGCAAAGAACAAAAGACAAACTAAAATTCTCTAGCTGGACTTTTGACCAAAATCAATGTTTTAAGGCTTTCTTATAAGTAATTAAATTATAACATTTTGGATGAATGTTTTAACATGATATAATTTAAGGTACAATTTAATTGCATTTTCATTCTGAATCCACTGAAACACTAAAAAATCAAGATTTATGTCCTGAAACTACTCTGGTTGAAATCCAAGACTGAAATATCTCACAGTGAAAACCAGGAAGAAAACGAATACATTACCAAAAATAAAGTTGAAAATAAATTATAAAACAAACTAAAAATAAAACATGGGAACAAAACAAATGTACTGAAAAACATCTGATCATGAAGTTGTAGCATTTTTTAAAAGTTTTTTAGAGAAAAATATAATATGAAGTTTTGCAATCCCTATAACATTTAAACCTCACAATAATGGTATTACTAATATAGTTCTTTCTCCAAGTTCTCAAAATTACATGTTATTATAAGATTTTATAGTCCAAGAGACTTTTATTACATTTATCTTCATAATACAAATATTCACCATTGCTTCTTGAATTTCAAACCTTCCTTATAAAATAATTTATTTTTCTTGAAATTACATACTTTGTAAGTTTTTTCACTTCCAGTATATTGAAAGTAAATGCTATGCTTATTTTGCCTCAATTTTTAATTTATCTCTTGCTCTTAAGAGATAATATCTTTTGATATATATTGTGTGGTATGTATTTAATCTTTGCCCTCTGAAATGATTACACCATTTTACTCCTCATTCCGTTGTTGTTATAGTTATAGGTGACGTCTATTTTCTCTCTCGCTTTTTTCCCTCTAGGATCTTTATCTCTGTATTTGATATTTTTTAGTTTCACAATAGTGTGTATTCTAACTTATTTTGTTTGGTGATTTTGTGGTTTTCTTCAATTATATAAAGTCCTCAGCTAATATCTATTTAATTATAGCCTCTCAACATTTTATTTTATTCTTCTGGAGCTCAACTGGTTGTATGTTCACACTTTCTCTAGATGTGCTAAGGTATTCGACCTCTGTTTCATACAGTTGTTCTCTTCATCTTCTCAGAACATGGAGCATCTGTGTATTTCCTCCTGGTCTATATTCTAGCTCACTAATTTTCTTTTCACCTGGGTTTTAACCAGTCAGTTGAAATAAATGCAGTATTAAAATTGGACACTTATGAGATGTTAATAAAGGTCTGACTTACTGTGTTCAGGAAGATCCCCAAGAGCAGTTACCACATCTAAGCCTGAAGGTATAAGAAAAGGGAAGAGACCTAACAAGCTGGAGAGAAGCTGCTTGGACAACACAACCTAACAAGATTTCTGATTTTTTTAAGAGAAATACAGCCATCCCCAAGTTACCCATCTCATTTGCTGCCATGGGTCCCATTGGAGTCACTCATCTAGAAACCAAAAGAGCAAGGAAGCAAGCCAGTACAGTTCATCCTAATAGACATCTCAGGACAAAAAGAAAACCAGGAGAAACTGGTACGATGAGACATCGCTACAATCATCTTAGTCAATATAACCCTTAGGATTAAAACTTCATATACAATTACTATTTAAATCGCTCCTTTGAAAGGAATAAAAAAGGGGAAGAAGAAAGTGCTGAAGTCACATTGTATGTTGGGGTGCAGCTCTTCAGAAATACTTTTAGTCATTCAACACACAGAGATCAGATTTAGTTCTAAATGATTCACTCGCCATGGAAGGCAAACATTTATCAAAGGGCTGGAAATACAGGAGATATTAGATGTATTCATTGTTTTTCAATTTTGGAATTAATGTGACAAACTTTTCTTTTCCAAAAAAGTAAAAATCTAATACTCACCTGTTTCATCTTTATTTTATTCATCCCTGCAGGTACCATTATCATCATGGTTATATTCATCAAATACATTGCTATGAAAATCATTGTGTGACTGAATTTAAAAGCTAAGGTAAATTATTTAAAGACTTTTTCATGTAAGATAACCTAGAATAATGTCAGATAAAACTTAGGATAATTAATTTTGTTCTCTGATTTATATTCCAGTTTGTGACAATACATCAGTTTAGAAGTATAATCCTTGAATAGTCTCAGTGCAGCTCCATAAAGCCTAAAATCTGGACTCATGAAATTAATTGCTCTTCCCTTGATCATTTGAAACTCTGATTCAAATAAACAATTAAGGTCTATCTGTAAAAAGATAATTATACCAATTAGATTCAGTTGATAGAGCTCTTAAAAAATTAGAGCACAGAAAATTAGTCTTTATATGTTGTGATTCAAATCTTTGTAATTCACAACTATAGTAAGTTTTTCATGTAAAATGACCTTCAGAATAATTTAGTTTGATTTGAAAGAGCCTAATGGATATTAAAAGAACATTTTGAGTTTAGCATTAGGTGTGCATCCTATATATTTTTGTAATTTTTAGAGTTTAATGTATATTAACTTGAGTAATTTAACTTCATTCTTTCAAGAATAGTGAACTAAAATCTGAAGTTTTTAATAGGAAGCTATCTTTTTAATTCCGCATCCAGCTTAGTGAGAGAGTCTAAGAGTCTGAGAAAATCCCAGAATACATTGTTTCAAGGATTCATTTCATATTACATCTTATTCTTATTCACATCTATCCTTTCTTTGCCTATTTCATATCCAACCTCTTCCTCTTTTCAACATTGTGCTTACTTTTTAAATACATTTCTGTTTCTAGTCTTGTATACATCTTTTCTGACCCAATTTTCATCTTCTTTCTCATAGTTTGTCTCTTTTCAAAGTTTTTTTTTTTTGCTGTTTAAACTAAATTCCTCACTTAGCTAATATGTATTTTAAAGGAGGCTCTTTGTGGAATTTCTCAGTTTGATCTTATCAATTTATATCACTTTAACTCCAGACCATTTATTTTTTTCTGTTAATATCTTGAAATTTCTTGTTTCATGAAGTCAGTATGTTTCATGGCTGTTGTATCATTCTCTCCAAATTACTTCTCCTATTGTTCTTTAACATTATAATGTCCTTTGAACTTTACATTGTTTGTGTCATTTTAATTTGAAACTCTTATTTTTTAACTAAAAGCTACCATTTAAAACTAAATGATCATTGAATGTGTGTATGAATAATTAATAAATACATCAAATGAGTAATAGATTAAGTTAACTTAAAAGTATGTATAAGTGTATACATGATTTTATTCATGAATAAGTGTTGCAATTCACCGCCATAGGCACAGGATGTGCCCCAACCAAAAATTTGGTTTGGATGCCCAGACTGGTAGCACACGTCAAGCACTGTAGGTTCTGAAAGGCTTGTAACTCACATGACGAAGCTTCCTGGGAAGAGCAGTGCAGGCTCAGCAGCAGAAACAAAGTGGCTCAGGAGAGCAAGGACTGGAAACTACCTTGATCTCTATCATGATGAGATGGTGGGGCACAGGAAGCAGATCAGTGCACATGGCCAGGGCTTGAGGTGTGTAAACTTCAGGCTGAAATCAAATGTGGGGACACTTGGCTCTCTTATCAGCCTCCCAGATAGGCAGTAGAAGGGGATGGGGTGTGGTGTGATGTGAAAGCTGTTAGAAATCAAACATGAAAAATTAAGTCAGAGACTTACAATAATAAACAAGCATTTTTATCTTAAATGTTAAGGTGCACTGGTAAAACACAAGGAAAGAATAACTTTGATAAATCTTAAAAATATACACCATATATTTTCCAATAATAATTTCTTTATTAATCCAAATTCTTCACCATTCTCTTTCACATGTTGCAATCTTTATCACAGTTCATTTCTGATGGTTAAGAAGTTTATAATTTAAAACACTCTAAAGTATGTGCAAATATTTTATACCAGTTTAAATAATTTAATTTATATTTGATTATTTTTAATTTCTTTAAATAAATATTTTCTATCTCTGGGAAAACCCTGTCTTTTTAACTAACGTCATTTAGAAATTTCCCATTTGCACTAAAGTAAAATAGTTACAAATCCACAGACTATTCCATAATTCATAAGACTTTATTATAATTAAAAAATAAGTTATAAGTTACATGACTTGACTTTCTAATATTGACTCTTCTTGTCTGACTTGAAGAAACTCTTCCTCTATGAGCAGAAGTTTACCCTGAAACCTCAGCCTGTCCCCACCAAGGAGAGAATGGAGATTGGAGGTTCTGAACCTACTCATGACTTGGCTGTTTCTACTTTTAGGACAGGACTGACCTTTCTCAGGCTCAAGTTTTGAAGAAAACATTCACATAACTTTTGGGGACTTTAAAAATTAGGAACTTTCACCCTTGAGATTGATATGATTGATGTCCTCACATTTCTTATTTTATAGGCATGGTGAAAGGCTTTAATGAAAATAGATCTTATTTTGGCAGTTTGCTGGTAAAAACTCTAAAGAATTTTCTAACAATAGCACAAAATATCTATTATGGGAATATGAGATTAGTTCATCAAATCCTCACTCCCTAGATATAGTCACTTCTATTTTATATTCATTTTTATATGGGTCTTGTTTTCATAATATTATTAAAAGTTAAAAATGTATATGAAAGAATAGCAATATATATATGAATTGTCATATGTTAAAAGAACATTGTGAAGCTGGAATATGCATTTCTTCTCTTAAAAAAAGAGCAAGAATGTGTCTGCTGTTGAAATTTGAATATTCATTTAATCCATCTTAAGAGTTGCTTTGTCTTTTATATTCACCCTGGTCCATCCAAATACATTTAATTGCCCTTCTGCTTAAAAATTTCAACAACAACAACAAGCTGATGGATACAAAGAACAGTTTAGAAGTTGCCAGGGGTGTGGGTGGGGATTGGGTGAAATGGGTTAAGGGGTGCAAAGGTACAGACTTTCAGGCACAAAATAAGCCAGTCATGGGAATCTGATATATAGCATGGTGACTTCAGTTAATAATACTGTATTCCATTTTTTTAAATCACTAAGAGTCTATCTTAAAAGTACCTATCATGAGAGAAAATAAAAGTTTTATAACTATGTATGAGGACAAATGTTAACTAGACTTACTATAGCGATCATTTCTCAATGCGTAAGAATATCACATCATTATTTTGTACAACAGACACTAACATCATGTGGTATGTCAATTATACCTCCCCCAAAATTTCACTGTTGATCCCTCACATACAGCAGCACTTAGTGATGTTCTGCCTTGATTACTACTTTCAGTTACTTAGCTCTACTGAAGGTTTTATTTCAAAAATTTAGTCTTGGATTAATATGGTTCAAAGAAATATACATTAAAGTGAAGTTACAATCTTTATAAGATGAAAAGATAGATGAGAAAGTAATTTGGGGGGAAGTATATACATAGATCTCTGGGACGGAGCACAGTGCTTGAGGGCATTTGTCTCCTACAACACACTGATCAGAAAACACCCATGAGAGGAGGCTCTATAATTAAGATGATTGCCAACCCATCCTGTAAAATTCTGCATCGTGCCATCCTATGTGCTCACAAAGGGTCCATGGCAGCAGAAACTAAGGCATCTGTGGCCTCTGAATACCCCGCACCAAGGCAGATCTTCCAGCTACCGCTGTTAAGGACTCAATTGACAGCAGCAAAAACAAATTCTAAGTTTTGGACCTGGCATGGCTTCCTGGCAGCATCAGCTATGGCAGCAGGTTGTAGCCACTATCCCCTTGCATTCTAGAAGTGATCGTGTTTTATCTTCATAGAAACAGATTAATATAGACCTTTGCTTCTCCTGTCTATCAGCACCTCCATCCATGCTTTATCCATTTTGCAAGCCACAAATGATCAGGGGATGAATGGTAGAGTAACTGTTGGAGGTTCACTTACACCATCATCCAGGACACAGAGACTGTACCTTTGGGATGCTGTCCTACAGGACGTGGTAAATCCCTCCAAGCCAAGGCCATCGACTCTAAAGCCATCTACCCCCATAACAAAGGAACAGAAAAGAAAATGGACCCCTCTCATGACAGCAAATAAACCATTTTCCCATATCTGTAAACTTGATAAGTCGGTAGAGGTTTTAATTTTTAAGACAAAAAGGTTTCCTCTAGGACACAGTACTGGTCCTATTAAACTGGAAGCTGAAGCAGCCCCCGGCCATCTGGGCTCCCTGTGCAGGTTCAGGCTGGCAAATGAGATCATTGTATGGATGTGATTCTAAGTCCTCAGGGGAAACTGAGCCACTGTTACTCAACGAGCATAAGGAAAATGTATTTGAAACCCAGAAGTTACCACTGATGTACTGCTTGATACTTCTTTTATAAAAGCGATAGTACATTGGAAATATTAAAATGCCAACTTGATTAGAGACATGACCTCTAAGAAGCCAATCTGTGTAAATATGCAAGTTTCCATCACCTCATGTAACTGAGATACTGATAGAAAGTAATCCTCAATTATAAACACTAAGTACAATTATTTCATTTTTATTCATTGCAACCTCAGTTGGCCCCAAAATGATAATTTATTGTCAATTATTTAAATTAGGTCTTTTGCACATATTTGAGTGGTGATAAAATATTTTGCCAACAGAGTATCACATATATAATTACTTATAGATCCATCCAATTATTTGTGAGTTATTTTACCTTTGACTCTAGTTCATTTGAAATTTGTGTGTTTTGCTATATAATTAGTTAATAATCCTAGTAACTGTTGCTCAATTATTTTAAATTTATTTTAATTACTATATACAATGAATGATTCCTTGACTGGTTTGAAACATAACTTTAATAATTATCAACTTATTTTGTGTGTGGCAAAACAAATGCATATTATTTCAACTGCTGGTGACAGAATTTCTTTTACTATAAAATTCTTTTTGACGAGGAACTTTCTGACAATTGGTTAGGGGTAGAAGATTATTCATTGAAAGCACAGGGCAGGATGTGTATGCTCTAAAGCAACGATTTTCAGCTGCAGACTGGTGTGCCATAATAATTTATAAAACATGCACTTTCTATCTATATAGTTAAAGGCACTGACCTCTTTTCCCTTAAATTTTCAAATTAAAAAAATCACGATAGCCTAAACAAGAATAGCCATCAGGTGCAAATACCATGTCTTGAACCATAAATATATAGGTCATATAATAAAGTTGTATCATATTTGTCACATTTCATAATAAGGTTGCATCTGATTGGTTAATTCTTGGTACCAGAAATCTTTATATACAAGTATAAAACAACTAGGATAGGTAGTTACCATTATTATTTTTTGCAAATCAATAAAAATAATACCCATTTTTCTCAGATTAGCAAAAAAAAATATTTTGGTATGCCACAGAATTTTAGTATTTTATATGTGTGATGCAATGAAAAAAAGTTGAAAATAGCTGCCATAAAGAAGGCAAAGAAGAAGGAGGAGGAGGAGGGGAGAGAGTGAGGAGGAAGGAAAGGGACAGGGGAAAGGGGAGGAGAAAAAAGAAAGAATTCCTAAAGAGCAGAGTAGTAAAAAGAAGGGGAGAGAAAATAGCAAGTAACAGAGCAAGTTCCAAGTGAAATATGAGGGTAGTTTGCCTGGTGGCTAAATGACTTTTAAGAATGGAGGTTTCTTCCATCTTTATATTCAGCAACTACTTATTCAGTGCTTATGCCAAAGCTAAAGTCAAGGGAATAAATAAAAAATTGTGACACCAATATTTAGAAAATAAAATGCTAAATAAGTTAATGACAGAATGTGGTTGCTATGAAAAGTGGGTGGAGTGCCTAGTTAAGAAAGGCATTCTAAGATATTCTCATTGCTATCACATAAAATACTGTTGTTCTCAAACTTGCATATTTTATAAATTCTAATATTTTAACCAACGAGGATAAGTTGCCTCAACCTGCCAATATGAAGTATGCAAAAGAGAAGCAGGGACTAGAAGTCTGAGTCTGAAGTGATTATGGGACATAGGCCCCTAGAACTGAAGGAACAAACAGTGACAGACTCACAACTGGATTGCAGAGAAAAGAGAATGGCCTCAGTTGGCATGGAACATTATATATTCTCTCATTTATCTTTTATCTATTCTTATATACCACTATCACACTTTATCCATTTCAGTGGCATCTGATTTATTGGTAATAGCTCTCCAGTCACTTGACTTCTTTTGAAACATTTTTTTCATTTTTCTTATTAATTTTAAATGAATTGCCATATGTTTAAAAACTTCTTTGGTTTGATTATGATGTTCATCATAAATGTGGTCTGAAAAACTAAGGGTGAAGGTTGTATGTGATACAGTTACAGGTAATACAAAATGGTAAATAAAATTTGCATTCTGTTGTTAAGGATTGGTGTTATTAACTAAACTGAAATGTTTGTGTGTGGGAACCGTGCTAAGAAAGGACAGACTGCCCGTGTGTGTGTGTGTTTGGACAGGTTTATCATATGTCAATATTTGGGTAACCCCTTACAGTAAACATATCAATTACTCCATCTGAGATATTTAAAAAGTATCTTACAAAAAAGTTGAATATGTTTATCCCAGACAGTGTATAATGTGCTTTTATTTTCTGAATGGCATAGTTTGCTTTCAGATTTCCCAACTGGTAATTTCTGATATATGTGAAGGG